GGGGCCCCCCGCCACACAGTGGCTCTGAGCTGGGCGGCTGTTCTACCATCGGATGCTTCCCCTGCACAGAAGGAGCTCAGGAAGCTCAGGCGAAGGCAGGATGCGCCTCACCTCTAAAGCCCACAGGCCACTCAGCCAGGACCAACCCTGTTACGTGGTTAGACCCTGTGAGAGCAGCAGAGGACCCCGAGGCTGCTGGGTATCCTGGGATTCAAGAGAGCAGAGGCCCTGACATTCTGGTCCCTTTACCCATCCAAATATTAGCCCTCAAGAGACAGGAACCACATCTGGTCTAGATGTGGGTACCCAAGTTCAGAGGCTTCAACCCCCACTGTGGCTGAGGAGGAAGCCACGTGTGGATGCCCAGGTTGTGGCCTGCCCCTCCCTCTTGCTGCTCCTATTTTTGCACAGGTTGTTCCTCGTCTGCCTGGGCCACCTCCAAGACCTCTGGTTATGGTCCCCACATAACCCCCAGTCATGGCAGCATCGTGCCATGAGGTCCGAGGGGCGGAGCTGGAGCCATCCTGGGGCTGTCTCCCTGATCACAGACAGATGAGGATGGGCAAGACCTTTAGGGACAACAGCGGTGAAAGGGTGAGGGGCGAAGAGGGCTGCTGGGCCATTCACGGGGCTCTGCGAAGGACTCTGATGAAGCTGACCAGGTCTGCATGGAAGAAAGAGAACTATGGAGCAGAGCCAGGGGTTCAGGTATCCAGAGCGCGCTGTCCAACCAGGGCCAGAATGCCAGCCACCAGCCCCCATCCCTGCTCTCAGCCCCCAGGATGCGTCCGGACCAGCTCCTTGCTCACCTGTGCTCCACGCTGAACTCCCACCCCACCAGAGGTGCTTAGTTCAGGGGGACGAGACAGCTGACCTTCCACAGTCACCCTCCCAGTGGGAACAACTGGGCCCTGTCCTCTGGGGTTCCCAGGCACACTATCTAGCTGCCTCCCCCTGTGCACCCGGTCCCAAACCTCGCTCCCCTTTGACCTCTCTTTTACCCTGGCCGCTGGGGAGAGGGGCAGCCCAGGAGCCCCTCTCTGTCCCCAGTGAGCCCCCTCTCTTCCCCCAGTGGGCAGTGCCCACACAGAGGGTCAGCCACACAAACAGGCTATTGGCTCAGAAGCTCCAGACGAACCTAAAGCGGCACCCAGAATTGGAAGTGGGTACACGGAGTGGTCAGTGGGCCACCCAAGGGTCAGACCACACGGTGTACTAGAGGCGTGAGCCTGGACTTGTCCCTGGCCCTCAGCACGTGAGCCACACTGGCCCGTCCCCCCGGGCAATGCCCATACTGCCTTCCCCGGGAAGGGCGGTAGGGCTCCCTGTGCCATCCCACAAAAGAGCGTGAGCAGGGGCACCAGTGGGTCGTCCTCATCCGTGTCATTCCTCACCACTTCACTTGGCCGGGAGACTGTTCATGGGAGCAGGGCCTCGTTCTTTAGTGAGGGGCACCAGCTGCCAGTGCCTGGGCTGTCACAGACCGGTCTACACCAGAGCGCAAGCGGCTGCCCCAGAGAATTGAACCAGGGCGTCCAGGCAGGGAAAAACCCTGGGAGTGATGGGGGCGAAGGAAGCGCCGTACATCCCACCCCAAACACCCACCCCTGCCCAGGGCTCCCAAACCAGAATCTCACTGTCGGGCAGGTGAGCTGCCCAAGAGCGAGAGCGCGCCCAGTGCAGCGCCCACGCCGCCCCCCCTTCCCCCCGGCTGTGCTGCAACCTTCCCTCCCCTCTGCGGAGAAGGCCTCAGTGCAGGGGAAGCGTCCGATGGTAGAACAGCCGCCCAGCTCAGAGCCACTGTGTGGCGGGAGTCCACAGAGTCATCGGGCTCCATCCTTTTCCCTGAGTCCCTCAGGGGTCCCCCCATAACCCGCCCCAAAGCTACCCCATTCAAGGTGACAGAAGCCCAAGGCAGGGACATGTCCAGGCCCTGGACCCCTCCAGTCTCCAGCTGCATGCACAGCCACTTTCCCTCGTCCCAGGATACTGCTGCCTTACCCGGTCTGCAGCGGTTCCTCACGCTTTCTTCTCATCTGAGAGGCCTCCAGCCTCCTGCCCCTGGTCTCCTGCAGAATCTCCTCCACATCATTCTATATCAGCAGAGCTCTGGCCTTTGCCCCTTTGGTGCCCCCATCTGGGCCCCCACCTACCCTAGGGTGAGCCAGCATCAGAGGGCCCACACCAGCACAGGCCGGATGGTTTTCTTCACACCAGTGTGTGTGTCCCACACGATTCTGTCTCACACATGCCTCCTCCGTGTACGGTGTGTGGCCCTGGTGAGCCTCATGGTGTGGCCACGCATTGGCTGCCCGGCGAGCGTGCTCAGGGCCCGCACCTCCTCTTCGCCCTCCTCACCTGGGCAGGTAGCACAACACAGGGCTCGAAGCACCACTTGGGAGTCCCTGTTGCGGCCTTGCTGCATGACCACGGATGGTTAACTTCACTTTTCTTTTCTCTTTTTAATTGTGAGAGAGCACATGCGCTCGCCAGAGTGAGACAAAACACCCCACCCACGCGGTGTGGTCATGCCACAATCCCCTCTCCTCCATTTTTATTTCAGGCTTTGGGGCACTCATGCACACACACCTGACGTGTTTTTCCCCAGTGGGACCCGGACTAGATTCATGGTCAGCAATGGCTCCCATAACCACTAGGCCACGGGGTCAGCCCAAATTATTTCACTTCTGTGTGCCTTTTTTTCCACGTAAGACCAGCCCTGTTCAGCCCAGAAGTTCTGTGCCTGAGCTGCTGTTGCCTCTGTACCGGGCCCCTCCCCTTGCACTCCTCGCTCCTGGCCCTTAGCAGAAGAGGCTGGCTGCGTCTCCTTGACCCCGCTGGAAGGAAACTAACC